CACACTCTTTGTTCCTTCTGGTCGGCCATCTCACTAATCGCCAAAGGGTTGAAACAGGAACGCACACAACAGAGCACCACAGACAAACCACTTAACTCAGACTGACGCCAGCTCACTAACAGTCGCGGGAGACCTCCAGCTAACACCACCTAGCAGCACAACTCGTAACTACAAAGCATGCGCGCGCAACAGGTCGTTTCCGGTTATTTTTGGGTCCCCCTTCGTAAATGAAAATATGGATATATGATGTCTGATAATTAATTTTTCAGAGACTTCTTGTTACAAAATTTTATAACACCACATGGTCGAGATATTGAATTTTAAAATTGGAGTGACAATTATAAGATTAAATGCTGCAGTAACAAATGTAAATGTTTAGGCAATTTTAATGTCCCACTGAGGGAGAGATAAGAACACAGAATATATAGACTTAACTGATTAATAGAGCACACTGTTCACAATACAAGGAACTCACTTTGCTTCCTGAGAACCCAATAAATTCCAAGAGTCTTATAACACGGGCAGGCAGTAAAGAGATCATCTGAAACAAAACACACAAATGCAACAGTTACAGAAAAACTCTGTGGGCTGTAGTCTGCAAGCAAACTGTACCGACTGAGCGACCGCCACTTGTTGGTGAAGTTAGTGCCAACTTCAGCGGATAGAGGATGTCACGTGGTCAGCGCAACGGATCCCCACGGCCGTTAATCTCGGTTTTCTAGACCGGGCCCACTATTTCCTTTAAATAACTCCTCAATTATCCTGACGAGGTTCAGTGGACCCCGATCCAGACCCACTTCTTCTCAGAAAACCCGGAACCTCTGGATCTGTAGCCAGGAACTCTGACCACTAGATCACAGAGGTGGTCACTTGTGTAGTAAGATATGCTATAATTCTGTCATTATGCTAGCAAATGGCACCAATGAATATGAGTTACAACGTTTCGGGAGGACCTGCTTAAAGTTAATATTTCTGTAACTAACCATAATGCAAGCTTCTGAAATTACTTCCTGATGTGATAAACCCTAGAGTACAATTCATTTAATTCTTCTGCTGTGATTGGGAGTCAGATGACAACTCATATTCATTAGATAACAGCAGGATATAAAAAATGTTATTATTAAATGTTCCAATCTTGAAAAATGTGCATTTCTGAAGTCTTGTAACTCACAGGATTGTTCTACTCAAGCTGAGAACTGATTTTACTATACACAGTATTATTCACAAAAACATTCATTTCATTCAAAAAATTACTGATAAAATACAGCACAATCTTAATAGTATAAGTATGGCTGCAGCAGAAAGGAAAAGTCAAATTTGAAAGGATAGAAAATTCTACAACCAATTTTACATATAACAGTTCAGTGTACCTCATTTTAAACTAAAAATGTTTTCTCTGCCTTGCAAAGACAGATACAAACATTATTAATTTATAACATTCCTGGCTTGCTAAAATTCAGTCCAGAATCTTTTGTCTTCTTGTCTGCTGTCCAAAAACATAAAAATTAGAATATACAAAACTATAATTTTGCCTGTGGTTCTGTATGGATGTGAAACTTTGTTTCTGACATTAAGGGGGGAACACAGACGGAGGGTGTTTGAGAACACGGTGTTGAGGACAATATTTGACACAAAGAGATGAGGTTGGAGAAAACTGCACAATGAGGAGCTGCATAACTTGTACTCTTCTCCAAGTATAATTAGTATTATCAAGTCAAGAAGGATGAGGTGGGCAGGGTATGTAGCACGAATGGGGGAGATGAGGGAGGACACTGGTGGGAAAGCCAGAAAGAAAGAGACAACTGGGAAGACCAAGGTGTAGGTGGGTGGACAATATTAAAATTGATCTTAGAGAGAGAGGATGGAATGTTATGGATTGGATTGATATGGCTTAGGATAGGGACCAGTGGTGGGCTCTTGTGAACATGGTAATGAACCTTCGGATTCCATAAAAAACTGTGAAATTCTTGAGTAGCTGCAGAATTGGCAACTCCTCCAGATGGGCTCAGCTCCATGAATAAGTAAGTAAGTAACATTCCTGGCATTTTGAACTCTTTTAATTTTATTCCTCTATTCTCGATGTATACAGGTATTACTGTAATCAAGTTTTAATGTACTACTAATATAAGTCACATGTATGGAAATGAATTTCACTTCCTTAAATTACCACACATTAATGTAAACCAGTGGCGTGTACTAAATGCTGCAGGCTTCACTTTAATTAGTGATTCTAAAAATCAGACAACCACTCGATCAAATAAGTTCTAAAAGTTTGTGACAATGGAAAATTAATAAAATTATTGTGGTTTTGGACATTATCCATCATCTAGCTTTCTTCTATTTAAGACAGTATGTCTCCAGTCTCTGAAAGTGTTCTAAATAAAAAACAGGATGATGTCCAAGAACATATTAGTTGTACTGGATTCATTCTAAGGTTCATGTTCATGTTTATCATTGTATGATAAATGGCAATGCTATATGGTTCAAATGTTATTGTGCTGTACTCATAAAATCATTACTGTACTCATTAGACACAATGAAAAGTCGCTCTGTCTTTATTAAGTTAAAGCTAAATATAAGGAAAAACAAATCAATCTCTACTCTCTAACAAGTGTCAGTTATAACAATTGAAAAACAAAGTCAGATAAAAATAATACATACAAAGATAATTCCACCTGACATAATCTTCTTAAAAACTACAAATCTGTCAGAAACTATGGCAGGCTTAGAATATAACAACAATCTTCTTTGACAGGTCAAAGAACATATGACTTTTCATTAACATCACAGAAAAAGTATCTTAGCAGTGTGGTTAACATCTACTTAACCAAAATAAATTGGAGAAAATATTAACAGTGCTTGTTACAATCATACTCACAAGATTAAATGCTCCAATTCCCATTCTAACACCACTCTCAAAATGTACTTTGTGGTTTTCACCATCCCAGTTCCTTTGGTTTAAAATGTTCATACATTCCCTATAAAATAAACAATGTTACAAAATTTGTTAAAAGTAATAACGGTCTCTCTAACAGTAACCCAAACTTAAGTAACATTGACGTCCCCACTCAACGTATCATTCAAGTAAAGCACCAAAAGACAAGCTGGGGGCACGCGATAGCGTAGTTGGTTGAAGCACTATGCTACAAGCTGGAAGGTCGCGGGTTCAAGTCCCGATGAGGTTACTGGAGTTTTTTCAGTTGACCTAATCCTTCCAACTGTACTATGGCCCTGGAGTCGCCTCAGCCTCTAACAGAAATGAGTACCAGGAATTAATTAAATAATTTTCCTGGGGAGCAAAGCGCGGCTGGCATGTAAGGCTGACGACCTTACCGCCATCTTTGAGCCAATTGTCTAGATAATGTGGGAACCTCAACGTCTCACAACCCTATGGGCCTTACCATCCTGTTACAGGGATAGCTTTATTATTTTTTTTACTTTACCAAAAGACAAGCTGCAACAATTCAGTAAAATGACTGGCTATTTGCCAGATGGAGTTCAACACACCATACAGGATACTTGTCTTTGCTACCACATCCATACTGACTCAGAGCTCCAACAAGCTTCTTACTAAATGGTTACCAGGAACTCCTTGCCCAGGAATAAAGAAAATCAGAGCATGAAGCTGACCACTCACCAATAACTTGTGCTGGGATTAAGAAGGCATGGAGTTTTACCTCACAGCAAGTCAGGGACAACTTTACATTTATCTTCACTAAACATAAATGTTAGCCAAATTAATAATTAGTGAACTCATATACAATAATAATTAGAGACTGAGGGTTGTCATGGTTTTCCTCAGTCCCTCCATCCAAATGCCTGGATAGCATCTCAACTGCTTCTCGAAAGAAGAATGGACAGATGACAGATGCCATGTAAATTCCTCTAAAATGTTAGTTTCTTCCGTCTAAACAGTAAATAGAAGATAAACTACAATCACTCCCTTGGTGATTTTCCAAATTTCTACTTTCACATCATCCAAAACAGCCTACTAAAAAAACCATAAATGATTTTATATTCTTCCGTCATATGAGAAACAACTCATATCATGACATAACTTTTTCAAATTAAATTTCTTCATAATCTTACTTGTAGGAATTATAACAGGAGCGAATCTTGAGCCCAGCTCTGATGAAACTGACAAGAGTTTCATCTTCCACAAATGTGAGCATAGATTTCAGCAGCAAAGCTTCTGCATAACATAGTTCTGCATGAATTTCCTCTGCAAAGAGTAAAATTATACCATAATCAACATTATGATCAATAAGTATTTTATTTATATACCACAGCCAACACACATATTCCACATAGCTCTGTTTAATTTCTTTCATTTTCATAATATTTCATTGCTGACTCTCAAACAGAAGTAACAACCTTGTTATACAGATAAAAGTCCATTTATCAATAACTTTAAATCCATTACCAATTTATTTATAAGGCCACGCCATAGCTCAAGCGGTTAGTCGCTGGCTTCCCACCGTGGTGGCCCAGGTTCAATCCTGGGTCTGGTCAAGTGAGATTTGTGGTGGAAGAGGTGGCACTGGGGTGGGTTTTCTCTGAGTACTTCGGTTTCCCCTGCCATCTTCATTCCACCAAATTCTCCATCATCACCCTCACCCAAGGCAGGCTACAATAGGACAATCATTGGCTGCTATGCCGAGTGGACCCAGTTGGACTACACCCCCCACTAAGCGAATTTTAATTCATTTATAGGTTATTATTACTGACACTATATCACGTACAGCAGATATGAAATTGGTGGCAATAACCACAGAACAAATAAATTGCTCAGCCGATGACAAATGTTAAAGCTGCCTGAGAATATGGTAGAAATTTTCTTATGGGTGACATGCTTACAAAAGTAACTGTCAAGTTCTTGGAAGGCCCAGTTCATTGCAGGGCAGGGCAGGGCAGTTGAGAGAGAAGCTGGTAAATTTCCCAGTGCAGTGCAGCCAAATGGAACAGACCAATGTAACAGAAGTTTGCAAGTTTTCAGTGTTCAGTTCAGTGCCATCAGTGAATAAGCGAGGATATGAGTCAGTCAGTCAATGAGTGAGTTGCCAATATTTTCGGTTGTCAGTTCAGTGCTGTGCAGCTCATTCAGTAAAGGTGAGTTGACTACAGTATTATAACCAGTAGTACTGCTGTAGTTACAACCATGATCATGGAGGGTGGGAAACTACCTGCTCCAAATATCAATAATTGTTATAATATTGTGACATGTTGCGCAACGGAGGACCCCTACCTCCCCAGCGGCACATGGCGGTAACGTAGCGCTCCCTCCCCCTCCGCGGTGATGTAACGCGCAACGCGCGGTGACGTAAGACGGCACGAGGTAACAGCGTTGCTAGGCTATATGCAAACATGGTGACGCGGCACCGCTTCCTACTGTGACATGGCGGGCGACCCTAGCAACAGCGAACGGAATAAAAGCCGGCTGAGCAGCAAGCGAGAGTCAGTGTGTTATCAACGAGTTCTCAGTTCGCAAGTTACGAGCTACAGACGCGTGTGCAAGAATCAGTGATAGTTCGTGATAACCAGTTATATTTGGAGTGTGTAATTCAGCGAGACTTGTATAGCTCCCGCGCTATTAATACATGAAGACTCTGGAAGATAGTGTTAAGAGATTTTGTTGTAGGGTTTGTAAAGTGTGGAAACCCGTAACATTGTGATAATTAATTGTAGCCGATATTTGTAGATTGTTCAATAAACCAATTAACGATCTCTACAGCGTATTCAGAAACGAAACACGTTACACTGGTGTCAGAAGTGGGATTTGGACTTACACACGTGACCAACGAGATTCGAACTCAAAACACATTACAATATTTAAATATTTGCCATATAAAATACCAGAAAATATTTGTTGAATTCAACAAGATAAAATCTTTACACCACTTACATTCTGAAGAAAAACAGCCACTTTTCAGAATAGTTAACAGCATCCAAAACAGATTTTCAATTACACTTTACTGGCAATATTATGAGACATTTCAATTTTTGATTCACAATGCTAGAATATTCCTGCTTTCCCCGAACTGAAGGACACAATTAAGCGTAAATTTCAAAGTATGATGCCATATTATGGAAAGAACAATACAATCTGGTTTTGAATCTAAGTGTTTGCATATCACTTTCAAACAGCAAATTTTTGTCTGTGAGTCAACAACAGTTTGAAGAAGTTTACATTGATTTCCTTAATGCTATTCCAGTAGCTGGGATGACACACTGTTGACACATATAATTACCAAGCTTCAGCATAAATTACTTTACACTTTTATACTGAAGAAAGAGCATGTAAATAACTTGGAAATATTTGTTGTAGAATATTATTCCACGCATTTCAAAATAATTTCAATTTTACTAACACCAAGAAACAACTTCTAATAACAAGAAAGAGCTGATTCAAAATCCAGTGCCTAAATTGTGTGAAGAAAGTTATTTTTTGGTTCACTTCACATTAAAACTAATATTTAAAAAAAAAATAAGCTTCTGGCTGTCTAGATACAATCATATTAAAGAAACAGATGATAAAATTTGCTCCTGTTAAGCCATGTTACATAACTTACCTGGTGAATACTGATCATAGTTGGTTTTCTTCACCATCTTTCCCAAAGACTCAGAAAATGTGTTCTTTTTCCGATATCTGTTGCACACTGCGATGCACTGTTTCAGCGCATCTGAAGCAGCCTCAATATGTTGCTGAAAAACAGTAACAATTACGACTAAAAACAAAGCCGCGCTTTTAACTAAATCAGCCGTTCCTCTCAGACAGGAAGGGGTAAAACTGCAGAACTTATTCCTGCTCTCCTTCATACACCCTGCCATTCCTATCTTATCACCTGCTTCACACAATTACATTTGAAGACAAAACCTTTCCAACTCAGTGATATCTTACACTGTGAACTACTGAACCTTTCACTGATGAATCAGAGATTAATTCAAGTTATAAATATTCAAATCTTATTGCATAACCAATCTGTGTAATGACAGTAAGCATGTAAAGGCTCTATTTTATTATTAAACAGCACTGTTACAGTTGATGAAATTCAGTCCTAATTTTACCTGTTGTTTTAGAGTGCAATAGCTGAGGAAAATGTCTATCATAAAAACAATAATGTTAACATTTAATTTCCTCTATTTAAGAGTTTTCTCAGTTTGGTGTTCACATCTACTGTTCGTCAAAGAAACCTTAAATGGCAGAAACACTGTACTATGAAAGTTAAGATTTACACTTCCACGAAACATGTTGACCTGAAATATTAAACCCCTCTCCATGTCATCCAGCAAACATATGAGGGAAGAAACTTCTGATATTGTATAACACAATAAAGGTTCATTTTTCATGAATTGTGCTTTCAACAACACATATAAAAGTTTAATTAAATAAAATAAAAGGTTTATAGGCAATCGTTTCATGAAGTTATGCAAGTTCTAAGATATGACCAATGCATACCACAATGGCAGCCCAGGTTCAATCCCAGATCAGGTCATACAGGATGCGTGGTTTAAGTGGAAATGGGTACTTTGGTTTCCCCTGCCAATTTCCATTCCAGCAACTGCTATACATTCATTAACCATCCTACCATTTTGCACTATATAGCCTTGATATTGACAGCATCATTACATAACTAATTTAAAGCGGCCTCCGTAGTCTAGAGGTAACGTTCCCACCTCATGACTTGTGGTACGTGGGTTCAAACCTGGCGGAGGTCGTGGAATTTTTAAGGGCGGAAAAATTCAGGGAACAAGTCCTCCGGGAGGGACTTCAAGCTGTGGGTCCCGTGTCGTAGCTTTACGGCACATAAAAGAACCTCTTATCTCCAAAAGAGGTCACTGAGCCAAATTCAAGGTCATTTCCAGCCCAACAGTAGTCTGTAACGCCTCTGATAGATGGGGGAAGCATTATAGATACCGCCAAGCCAGTAGAGGCTGAACTCGCTGGCTGAGTAGGGACTGATGGTACGCACCAATATCTGTAGGGTATAGAGACTGGTAGAATATCATAGAGGGAAGCACAATGGACCAATACCGGTCTAAGTGCATGGGGAAACCCACCCTCTCCAATAACTAACTAACTAACTAATTTAAGACTGATAGATTAAATCTTCATTTATACCAGTCATACAGGGCTTTCAAAGAAAGATCTAGTATTAAAACAAGACAATTTCATTCTTTTTTTATTCTTATTATTCTTAAGATTCTAATTTGGAATCAAAAATTTTAGTAGAGGTTTGGATAGGATAGAACAGAATAGAAACAGAATAGTAACAGATTGAGATTCTGATGCAGGTCACATCAGATCTCGCAAGGATACCTCAAAGCTACTCTGGGCTTTCAAGAAAAATAGAAAAGACTATATTCATGATCTATAGACAGACAACAATTTTAATTACTGCAAGGAAATAACAATTCTGAAAAATATACTATGAAATATCACACTGAAACCAAGCACACAAAACTGCCCACAAGTTCTTTTTTTGGCTTATTTTGGACTTCACCCATCGTCTGGTATGTAAAAGACAAAAGACCACGACATTTTGGAGACTGGATCTGTCTCCATCTTCAGGTGGACAGGGAAGGATAAACCTACTCAGTTGGGCCCATTACAAAGAGCTAGTCTCAATCACTGGACCCAGTGACAGATCCAGTCTCTGAAACATCGTGGTCTTTTGTCTTTTACATACCAGATGATGGGTGAAGTCCAAAATAAGCCAAAAGAAGTACAGTATACACCACTGTCAGAATCTTTTCAAGTCTATCTGCCCACAAGTTATAAAACTGCTCTATCTACATATACATAATTCTGGTGACATGAAAACAAAGCAATGAAGAGACACATCTGAAGATAAATTTCCTTCACATAACAGACAGATGAGCAGTCAGCACACACTTAAATTGACTTCATCTCTGAGGAAAGAGTCTATGGTACCCTCTGGTTAAGATGCTAGACAAACCTCAAAGTCTATTAGACTGTGATGGCAGAGTAATCTCTAACCCTACCAAGAACATAAACCCTATGGGGCAGGCCATATCCAGTCACTTTAAAGACTGAACCGTCCCATTTCATAGGGGGGTACCAACAGGGCACGCTGAAATTATGGCAAAGATGTGATCTCTCATGGCACAATTCACAAAAACAGCTGCTACAGATTAAAGCAGAGAGAACTAATGATCTAAACACAAAACTTTCTTTATTAAAGGCTAGAGATGAATGGCTGTATGTTACTTACATGTTCAAATGTCAGCACTGCTTCAAGAAATGTGAATACACTGATTCCCAAAGAATGATACATGCTGCTGTTGGCCCTGAGTTACAAAAAAGAAAAAAGAAAATCTTACAGAAACCAAAAGTCCACTTATGACATACATACAACTGAGGTATATACAACAGTATACTTCAGATCATTTGGATAATCGAAATACAAAGATAATTCAAGTTTTGGGTGTCACCTGAAACCATAGTGATAGCTGTGCATTTAAGTTCAGACATGTATGTATAGTATCCGACATCTGCAATTTTCCTGAAAACCTTAAGACTTGTGGAAAAAGTGTATTGAGTATAAAAAAGGGTGTTTTATTTTTTGTTTCATATACTCTTTGCTCCAATATATATTTAGCCACTTAACCAGCAAAAATACACATAGGTCTCTATGTAAAGTGGTCATTAAAATCGTTTAATCTAATGGAAGCTGACACAGGTCTACAATTCTTCATAAACTTCTCCAGCATAAACTACTACAAAAATACATCCAGTGATTCCTAGGTTGTTTCATGCAAAAAGAGAGATGGTCACCATGAATGAAAGTAACAGGTACTCTACATGTTTTTTTATTGCTAGTGGGGCGGGACTAAGTCCCTTGTACTGCGGCCACTTCTGGCCTATCGTACCAGCCCCAGATGATAGGTGAGGGTGATTGTGGAGCAATTGGTGGAATGAAGATTGCCAGGGGAAACCGAAGTACTCGGAGAAAACCTGCCCCAGTGTCACTTTGTCCACCACAAATCCCACTTTACGAGACCCGGGATCGAACCCGGGCCGCCGCAGCGGGAAGTCACCGACTAACCACTTGAGCTATGGTGCGGCCCCTACTCTGCAAGGCTGCAAATGCTCCTAAAGGGGGCAGTGATAAGCTGTAAACTGGATAATTCACACATGCATAATTGGGAGTATATTTTTATTTATTTTAACTGATGCTTACCAAGGCTGAAGGATATCTCTTGCTTCACTAAATTTATTGTTGAAAAAATAATGAACTGCTGTCTTTGAGTCATCCACAGATGTTTGCAAATCCATGGAGGATACCCTATAAAATATAGAGCATGTTCCGTAAAAACTCCCTACATCAAACATCCCCACATAAGGGGAAAATGTCATATCGACAGGCACTTCTCACACAATATACTAAGAACAGTGGTACTTTTATTGACTCTAGATAACCCACATAGCACTACAAATTAACCAAAGTAACACATACCTATTAACTCTGTATTTCCATTCTAAACAAAAAATTATTCTTAAACTAAGACAGTGATTGTGCACAATGCTGAATGAATCTTCAGTTACTAGTTCCCATATATATATATTTATCTGTTTCTTTGAAATGAATTACTTCTGATATAACTAATCACCTGATCCGTGTTAAAACTAGTGGTTGATAAAAATTTATAATCTTTATTCTTATCAAATAAAGATCCACACAGCCTGCTTAACAGTTGCAATGCAAATGTGCTCAAATAATTTGGTAAACTTCAAATATTCTGAAAACTACTGTAAAACAGAACAAAATTACATTCATGAGGATATTGAGAGCAGATAAAATTAGGACAATGTTTGCTACCATTCAGCCCTGACAATCTTTGGTGATCCCATTTCCTATGTAAGAACATAGTAATTAAATTACACAAGACTCTAATTTTGTTTAATCCATGAAACAACTTCACACGCACAGAAGATTGTTAACTGAGGGTACTTCAGAACAGGGCAAAAAGGACAACATTTGGGCAGTACAGAATTTGAAAAACTGAATAATGAGGAACTTCATAATTCATATTGTTAAAAAAAAAATACACAAGATTTTAGTTGGAAAACATGAAGGTAAGTGCTCTGAAGAGCTAGGTGTAATGAAAGAATAACAATATTATTCTATATATTTTATTATTATTAAAAACTGATCTTAAAAGAGATGATGATTCAAGTTACAAAGTGCTTTCATACAATTCAACAGGATCCAGTGGCTGACACTAAGAACACAGTAATGAATGTTTGATTTCCATAGGAGGTAAGGAATTTCTTGACAAGATAAGTGATTATTAGCTTTTCAAAGAAGACTCTGCTCGTAGAATTAGTTACATGAACTGAACTGAACAGAACTTCATATACTGTTCAGGTAGCAACTACTTTCTTCAGTGGAGCTAGTTTCAAGCACAAGCTCATCTACTCTTCAAACACGGACAATCATTTGATCTGTTTCCTGAACTTATTCTGTTTAATCAAGTTTAATTTTATCTTGACTGAGGTTTTCACGGCGATGACTATGAAGAAAGTCGTCTTCTGGGATCTGGCGCCATGTATTCTTGGCTTTAACCAATGTCTCGGAGGAACATATCGTCTCCATCTTCAGGGCAGTTGAACTGCATTGCATTGCAGCTACTGCTCTCTGTATTCGCAACGCAATTCAACTGCCCTGAAGATGGAGGCGATATGTTACTCCGAAACGTCGGTTAAAACCAAGAATACACGGCGCCAGATCCCAGAAGACGACTTTCTTCAACTTTAATTTTATCTGGATTATGAAATAAACGTCTGAATATTTTGAGAAACTTATTTTAGAAAATCTGTAAAAACACCCTCTATGTAAAGGGTAAGTCAATAAGTAAGTTACAAATGGATATAGAACTTAAACAAATAAGAGTACTGATTTGAAAAATGCTTTTATTTCTCAACATAATCTCCCTGTACACTGAGGCACTTAATGTACATATCATACATGTACGTAAGTAGTTTGTCAAACTGTTCAGCTTCTATACAGTATAATTTACAATTAAAAGATTTATTAGTTAATAGAGGCCAATCATATGTACCTTAGAGGAGATTCCTACGAAATTGAAAATTTCTGAAGTACATCACTAAAGATAATGTAACGCGTTTGGAGTAGATACTTCCATGGCAACGCAATAACAGTGGGCCATTGCGTAGACAATGTCGAAACAACGAACGCGTTTCCCCGGAGATGAACAACAGAAGGCCGTTGAGGCCGTTGAGGCCGCTGAGTACCAACGGATGAGACGAAACACGTTACCGCCGTAATCTACAGAGATCGTTCCCGAAGCAACGGATTGCCGAATAAGTGAGATCGAACCTTGGCGAATGGTGTCGCGTATTTGGTCCGCAGAACACCTACATAAGTCGAGAGTGACAGAGTATGAGGCTGGCGGACCACGTGACCCTTAATTTCAACAATAAAATGTCTACGGCTGCAGTGTTCTTGGACATCGAAAAAGCCTTTGATACCACGTGGCACTCAGGCTTGCTGTTTAAATTATCAAAACTGGAATTCCCCAACTCTTTGACCAAGCTTATTGGGTCATTTATCTCTAAACGTAAATTCAGGGTCTCTGTTGAAGGCGAAATGTCAACGCCAAGGGAAATGCAAGCAGGGGTGCCACAAGGTTCAGTCCTTTCCCCCACCCTTTTCAACATGTATATAAACGATGCCCCCCAAACTCATGGTTTTCATTTGGCCCTTTTCGCGGACGACACCTGTCTATATGCGACAGATCGCAAAGAGGGTTTTATTGTTAGAAAACTCCAGCGCGGTCTCAGCTCAATGGAGACCTGGTGTGAGCGCTGGAATATAAAAATAAATGAAGATAAGACTGGGGGGGGGTCTACTTCTCTCGTGGTCGTCGACCGCCTGAGTCTTGTCTTACTCTAAATGGAAGAAATATTCCATTTGTAAATAGTGCAAAATATCTAGGTGTAATCTTCGACAAGAGAGTGACTTGGAGATTACACATAGAAATGATCGAAGCAAAGGCCTTCAGAACATTCATTAGAGTGTATTCCCTATTGAAAAGTGAGCGATTGAGCGCTAACATTAAAATGACCCTCCATAAAGCTCTTATTATATCCGTAATGACTTATGCTAGTCCCGCCTGGGAGTTTGCGGCAGACACTCATCTAGTGAACTTGCAGCGCCTGCAAAACAAGGTTCTCCGCACGACTGGAAATTTTCCAAGGCGCACACCGGTCCGCGATTTGCACATGGCATTCAAAATCCCGTACGTATATGATTACGTAACAAAATTATGCAGGCAACAAGCAGAAGTCATAAAAAATCATGATAATGAGAATGTTCGCAACATCGGACAAGGCGAAGCCCGACACATAAAGTATAAGATTCTTAACCTTGGCGGCGGTCAGGCATACGACCGTTCAAGTGACTAAGACTGCCGTGGTATCTAATACTACTAGGAAATATATATATATATATATAAAGGGCATAATCTGCTGTACCTAGCCTGGACTGACAGAGGCCGTGTATATATTGTACATTTAAATAGAAAATAAGAGTGTATTGTAAATATGTGTACATACAGACAATGGACTCATTAATACAGACTGACTAACAAATGACAGACCCGACCTCTCGTCAGAGAGGGCGCTACACATGGACAGGACAGCAACTTTCATTCAAAAGGAATATCTGTGGGGCTCGACACCAAGACAGACAGACTGACTGACCGTCATTGCAACGTGACTCTGACTCTGCTACAGGACGACAGTCGAGATCTAGCCTTCATACAAGACAGTTTGAACCGAGCCTTCATACACGCGATAATACTTGTATGGTGTATAAGTGTGAGTGTCCAATAAAGATTTGCTGAATCCGAGACCCACACGTGACAATATTTATAGCGTCAAAATTGTAATACACCCACAAATTTACGCTAACTGTATTTCTTCAAAAATGTATTTTATTTTCAAATCCCGAAACTGGCCACTTGACCTGATTTGAACTCCTGAGGAGTCGCCGCTGGACGCCTCATCATGTCATCTCAACATTCATAATATTAGCCTATAGATTGTAGATTCTGATTGCTGATTGTTGATTAAACTAAAAAAAAAAAAATTTCAAATCTGTAATTACACTCAACTCTCGATTATCCGGGATAATGGTGGGGATGGAAATCACGATTAATCGAAAACCCAGTTAAGACAAATTTTATTAAAAGTACACTCAACTCTCGATTATCCAGGATAATGGTGGGGATGGAAATCATGATTAATCGAAAACCCGGTTAAGACAAATTCTATTAAAAGTAGTACTGTAATACTGTACCTTCATAATACTATAGGCCTACCTGTATTTAAATTTATTGAACCTCGTTTTTACGTCATCTCATGGCCTATGTAATACTTTTTTTTACATTACACAGAAGTATGAATTAGTTATTTCAATCACAGTGTTCAACAACATCCAACACTTTTTACGAATATTCACACTTAACACTTTAAAAAATTTAATATTATCGTTTGCTTTTTCGCGGCATTTTCCTTTTTACGGATATCCGTACGAAGCCTACGTAATATTAGCTTGTCACTTAATAAACTGATTCCAAATGATTAAGAGCAGCACCATGTGATATTTTCTTACTAGCACCACTGTCCACCTCTTCCTCATTCTCACTTTCTTCCCACTCTTCTGGCTGCACCCCCACTGCTTAACATTTCGAAGCCCGGTTCACACGAGTTTCTGTTCAATATTTATCACAACATGCTTCCTTTTACACCCTAACATTTTGCCAATGCACTTGAAGATCGATACAAAGAGACTAACTCGGGCGGTCTAGCTGTCCTTGAAACTTTCCACAAATCCTTGCATTCTTTCACCCCTACCCTAGAACATTGTGTTAGCATAACGGGACCAAAAAATGCAGAGCTCGGTTCACACTAGTGCGAAAATAGTGTTACAGCTCACCATGTGAAATAAAAGTGAATGAATATTAAACAACATATAAGCCTAAAAAAAGCGCCGGTTAAGCCGCAAACAGGTTTGTTTATCCGCCCCCGTATAATCGAGAGTTGAGTGTAGTACTGTAATACTGTATCTTCATAATACTATAGGCCTACCTGCATTTAAATTTATTCAACCTCATTTTTATGTCGTCTCATGGCCTGTTTAATATTTTTTTACATTACACTGAAGTATGACTTAGTTATTTCAATCACAGTGTTCAACAACATCCAACACTTTTTACGAATATTCACACTTAACCCTTAAAAAAGTTAATATTGTCGTTGGCTTTCTCGCGGCATTTTCCTTTTTTACGGATATCCGTACGAAGCCTACGTAATATTAGCTTGTCACTTAATAAACTGTTCTCGTCACTCTCAAGATAGTCTAGTGAGGATTCCAAATGATTAAGAGCAGCACCATGTGATATTTTCTTACTAGCAGCACTGTCCACCTCTTCCTCATTCTCACTTTCTTCCCGCTCTTCTGGCTGCACCCCCACTGAACTTACAATTTCGTCACTGCTTAACATTTCGAAGCCCGGCTCACACGAGCCACAGTCAGCCCACTCTCTTATATTTTCCTTGTTGACTTCTTCCCCACCATGAACTTGGCTAGCCAATTTTGCCAATTCTATGGGTATCTCATTTTCACTGAATCCATGGATTTCGTCATCTTCATTAGTGATGAAAGGCATCAGTTTCTCCCAAGAATTTTTCAATACAGATGGCTTTACTGTATCCCACGCTGTTGAAATCTCGTATATGGCATCTAATACTGAAAAATACTTCCAGAAACACGTCAGATCATTGCCTTCATCGATGTACTTTTGTAGCAAATTTGATCTGTAGATTCTCTTCATACTTGAGATAACTCCTTGATCCATTGGTTGGATAAGTGCGGTAACATTAGCGGGAAAATATTTCACAAAAATATTTCCATCATCTGACCTCAGGAGACTTTCGTTAGGATGTGAGGGCGCATTGTCAATGAGGAGCACAGCTTTCTCAGGTAGGCCTTGGGATTTTAGATGGTCACGAACTTGAGGCACGAATTTAAAATCAAACCATTCTTTAAATATCGCTCTATTCATCCAAGCTACTTTCTGGTTAAAATAATGGATAGGCAGACTTGAAGCTACTGTTCCTTTAAAAGAGTGTGGTCTTGTCGCTTTGCTGATAACCACTGGTGTTAGTTTGTGTGTTCCTGATGCATTAGAGCAGCATAAGGCTGTCAATCTCTCCTTACTGGATTTGTGACCTGGAGCCTGTCTTTCATTTTGAAATGCCAATGTTCTGGTTGGCAAGCATTTCCAATAAAGACCCGTTTCATCGGCATTATAGATTTGTTCTGGCAGCAGATTTTCACTTTTCACAAAACTATCAAAATTGGTGCAAAATTGATCTGATGCTGACAAGTCCCCTGACAATTTCTCACCTTGAATACTGATTTCTCGTATTCCATGACGCTGCTTGAAACGTGTTAGTCAACCAGAAGAAGTGTCAAAACTTCTTTGTAGTTCAAGTGCTTTGGAAAAAATTTCGCTTGTTTAGCACAAACTGCTCCTGTTATTGTTGTTCCCTGTGCCCTTAGTTGATTAAACCAGATCAGCATTGCTTTGTCGAGATCATCATATGTGGATTTTTTTCATGGTTTTTCTCTTCTTCATGCCGCTTGAATTAGAAAACGAAGCAAAGGAAATTAATTGATTCTTTTGTTTTTTCAAATCACGAACAGTTTGTTCTCCAATACCGTATTGCATTGCTAATTGTTTAACTACACCTCTTTTTCCCAACTGACTGACAATTTCAAGTTTCTGTTGAATACTTAACACAATACGCTTCGTTTTACCCCGACATTTTGCTAATGCACTTGAAGATCGCTACAAAGACAATAAATGGGGCGGTATATCTGTCCTTGAAACTTTCCACAAATCCTTGCATTCTTTCACCCCTACCCCAGAACATTGTGATAGCATAACAGAACCAAAAAATGCAGTGCTCAGTTCACACTAGTGCAAAAATAGTGTTACAACTCACCATGTGAAACAAAAGTGAATGAATATTAAACAATATATATGCTTCAAAAAAGCCCTGGTTAAGCCACAAACCGGTTTATCCGCCCCCAGATAATAGAGAGCTGAGTGTATAAGAAAAAATGCAATGCCTTGCTGCTCAATCAACCTAAACATTTTTTATGCAAATTATAACAGAAGGGCACAGAGAACTAGGAATTCTGAAATATTTCTGAAGTTGCATAACTTGCAAAAAAAAACAATGCTTATAGTTCCCAATTTTTCTCTGGCTAAAAAATTGTGGAAATGAGAAAAACTAAACACAGATGGATTTATCCACTATCTCACAATATATCCAACAAAATCCAAGTCTCTAATATCATTTGTTAATTAGAAGTAACATTTAAAACATTTCAAAATGTTAAAAATTCAAACCCAAAAAACAGATACTGATGCGTGGATGTTTAAAATACTCAGTAACTCAACGAGTCTTTAAAAATTACTTTCCAGCTGAACTTATGGCCTAAATATAAGGGCCTAAGTTGCAAAATTCTCCACGTGGTGAAAGAAAACTGAGACTCAAAATTAGATTTTGTCAGAATTTTACAATTTTTGGCATTAAATTCAAGTTTTGTGGTAGTACTTTTTAATATCAGTTCTGATATAAAAACTTACATACCACTGACACACTATCAGCCTCTCGAGGAGGACTCTGCAGCATGGAAATAGTTATTAATTATGTGATACAATCAATAATAAATTTATTCCTAACCGAAATCTTAACATATTCAGCTAACATTTCCTAAAAAATAAGTAATTTCAAATGGATTAATACTTTTAAGAGAGGAAATACTGCAAAGATACTTACACTGGCTGTGACTCATAAGCATCTTGGAACTGAAAGAGACATATTTTAATATTACATGTATTCAGACATTATTTTCTATACATTTTACTACACCTACAGAAAGTGACTTTACATAAAGTAATAATTATTTGTTCTAAAAGTGTATGATCCACTGAGGCTTCATACAGATACTGAATTAAATACTATAAATCATACTAAAAGCATTATGAGAAGGTTGATTTAAAAGACAGAGTTTTAACGCATTTACGCTAAAGATCCTCTTTTCAGGACAATATTTCTTTCCATAAAACTAATAATTTCTCTATGTGAACATATTTACCATGGGCAACATTAAGGTTCTTCACAGTATAATGCTGGTTGTATGCATCATACTGCGTGGCCCATCCAATATCTAACTTAAGATAAATGACATAATGATACAAATTCCATCCCAAGTGCAAACAATATTGTAACGTGTTTCGTTACTGAAGACGCCGTAGAGACGGTTAATTGGTTTATTTAACAATCTACAAATAACGGCTATAATTAATGATCACAATATTACGGGTTTCCACACTTTACAAACCCTACAACAAAATCTCTTAAC